AATGAGAGAGAGCAAGCACATGAGAGGGGGGAGGGTCAGAGGGAGAAGCAGACTCTCTGCCGAGCAGGGAGCCCGATGCGGGACTCGATCCAGGGACTCCAGGATCATGACCTGAGCCGAAGGCAGTCGCTCAACCAACTGAGCCACCCAGTCGCCCAACCCTTAGGGCATTTTCTATGGGAAAATGGGCCGAGAAGAAGGAGACCCCATGGAGCCAGGCGTCTCTCAAAGGACATAATCCAGCCCCAGGCTGCTACCCCCATCCACAGGTGCTCCCTATAACGCTCACCTCTTAGAAGTGTCAGGTTTTGTTTGAAGAGGAAGGCCTCATCCGTGTCCCCCCGAGGCTATCATCAGCCAGAAAACACAGTGGCAAAGGGACAGGACACTGGGCAGGCACGAGGCAGGGTCCAGGTTGGGTCCAGTGCCCTGGCGAAGGGGCAAGAAGGGGAATATCCTCAGGAAGCCCATCTGAACTGGAGGGCCACGTGTGATCCCTCTCAAAAAGGACTGGGCTGCCTCCTTGCCCTCACTGCTCCCTGGTGCTGACGGGAGCCAGGCAGGCGGCCCAGCCTCGTGGGCCCCCACGCGTGCGGCGTCCAGGCTTGCAGCGGCTGGCATTGACTGCTTCCCAAGGCCGGGCGCGGGACACACACACAGTGCTCTCATGTACCACAACAGCCTTGTGGTGCCCTTTTCATGGATGAGGAGACTGAGGCTGGGAGGTTTAGTCGTGTGCTGGTCAGTGGCAAAACCACAATTGATTTAGGTCTGTGGGGCTAAACCAAGCATTCAACTGCTCCGTGGTTCCACCTGCTTTCACTCCTGTTTCCCCAACCCTAGGGACTACTCGGGCCGAGCCTTGGCTGCCTTCTCTTGACATGAGCCTCTCCTTCTCCTCCCCCATCTCCTGGCTATGCTTCCATTTCAGGCCCTTCGATCCTACTTGAGGGGCAGGGCCGTGGCGCCTTTTGGGTATCTCGGCCTCCAGGCCAGCCGCGGGGGTGCTCCTGTGAGGTGGGAGGAACCTCTGCCTTCTGTCAGAGCCCTGACACAAGCTGTGCCCCTCTCTGGGCCTCACTTCCTCCCCCACAGAATGGGAAGAACAGATCTCCCACCTGCGGCCACGGAAAGGACCAGATGCCGTGAGCCCGAGTTCACCCTTGAGCTGTTCTCTTGCTCCCTGTGGTGTGTCTCCCAGGCTGCTGCCCCTCTGGGACTCTCCACTCCTCCTGGCGCTGCTGAATGTCGGGCTGGGGAGCACCTGAGAGTTGCAGGGATCCCTGTCCCAGCAATAGGCCAGTCACCTGTCTCCTCCCTCGTGGCTCTCGACAGGTGGTCCAGCTGCTGACCTGTGACCTGCTACTGTCGCTGAGGACAGCACTCTGGCAGAAGCAGGCGGGAGCCAGCCAGGCCCTGGGCGAGCCGTACCACGCATCAGGTGCTGAACTGGCCGGCTTCCAGCGGGACCTGGGCAGCCTGCGCCGGCTGGCACACAGCTTCCGCCCAGCGTACCGCAAGGTGAGGCCCGGCCGGCAAGGAAGGGCGGGGTGGGGGGCGGGCCCTGGAACCCAGTGGGGCGCCAGTGTGGGGTTGCAGAGTCGGTCCTCTGAGGTCTGCCAGCTAGTCTGTCCAGCGCTGGGCCGGGGGCTGGGTCTCCCCTTCTTTTTTTTTTTTTTTAGGATTTT